TATATATATATATATATATATAAATATCTGTCAAATGTATATTCTGTAAATAAAGTATTTTTTGGTTCCTCTACAGAGAGTGCATATGACACTACATGATTGTGTCTAGCTTGTTTGTAGTGGTTATTGACTGCAGTTCTGTAGTTGGTTAAATATCCAATATACCTTGATGCTTATAACACCAAAGGCATTAAACACACATTTATTCTACTTTCAGACTCCAAATAAGATTGGTCAAGGTATACTTTGAGCTTCAGTCATTCTGCTTAAACTGCAAAACGCATTATACTTTTGTAGCAAATCAGCTCATGGAAAATATGAATAATGAAATCTACTTGGCACATTATAACTATTCATATTTTAGATCCACTGTAGATATTTAGCTGACCACTCAGGGTCAACCGTCTTGTCAATTCCTCATATGGCTTGTTAACTGAGGTTACAGAGTATTTGTCATATAAAAAGAGAATATATAGTGTGTTGGATTGGTCCAGACGCTACACTTTCCATATGTACATTCCAGTGGTGTAGGGACAATTTGAAATCTACTTGGCACATTAATATTAATTGTTTGACATAATATTTGCAGAGTAGTCCTAAATGATTTGCTGAAATGCAGGTAAGTGGCCTCTTGTGCGTTATTTCAGTCCACTGCAGATGTTACTGGATGGCAGAGCCTTCTGCTTGGTGTATGTTTTGTTTTATGCAGTTGGCTATGAATTCTTGGTCACACTTTATTTTAAGGTCTAATTCTCGCTATTAACAAACTATTAACTACGACTTTTGCCTCAGTTCAACTTCTAATTTGCTGCTTATTAAGTACTAATAAACAGCCAATACTGTATGTTATTAATAGGCATGCTAATAAGAAACTAGTGAAAATTGGTCCCTATACTAAGGGGCTCTATACTAAGTTTCCCAGCAAAGCTAATATAGATGAATATACATGAAAATTACCTCTTCTGATATTAATAGTAAAGTTTCATTGAACTACAGACTAAATTTAGAGTATAAGAATTTGATGGAAGCTATCTCTATGTTAGGCTATACTTATTGTAAAATTGGGTTCTCTGACTCTTGACAGGACTGAATTTAAGCAAATCTTCATTTTTGGGTTAATGATTTCTTTATTGTGTGTGCTGGCTGTAACATAGTGTAAACATAATCTTTTGACTTTTTGAACTTTTGACTGTCTCTTCTATTTTTTTCTCCCATTGTCCGGGTTCTTCCTAAGCTCAGTGTGCACAATATTCACCTCCTGCACATTGCAAGTTGAATAAGGAAATTCATACTAGCAGATTTTAGGAGAGCAACTTTGTGTTTACCAGTGATGAAGGTTCAATGAGCTTTTTATTTCTTGTTCACCATATATGATAATGGAATTGTATCATAGGCATTTTTGCCTGCCTGCAAAGTGTATTTGGACTATAGTTGTCCAAAACCATCTGGCTGACATCATAAGACTTAAGAAATGTTTTCAACATAAGTGCTGGAATTGAAAGATTCCCACATTTAGTGAGTGGCTTGTCTTGAATCTGGACTTCAAATATGAATGATTCTGATTCAACACAACGTACAGAATAAGCTCTCTCCACAAACAATATGTCTTTATCCAAATCCAAAGTCCTTTATCTCTTTTTCTCCTCTGTCTTCTGATATTGATTGGAGTTGTGAAGTTTAAAGCCTCATTTTGCACACAATCACATCTTACGCAAGCATCAAAGCTTGAGTTTAATTACAGAATATTGTAAAAAGAAACAATTGAGTACTGTTGTTATAAACTACCTATTCCCTCTTAAACATTGATAAGGAGTAATGGTATGATTTTGTTATGATATAGCTCCAAACATTACCTTCTTGTACTCCCTCAGTTCCTGATCTGTCTCTCCAGTAGGCCTCCAAAGCAGTCTCATGAGGTCAGAATCTGGCATCATGACCTGATCTGCTCTTTATGCATTACTGAAACTACATACACTTTTTCCAACATCACATCATCAACTCACGTGTATTATTTAAAAACACACGAGGCATTCTTTTAAGTTAAAAGCTCTTTGTTCAGCATACACAGATACCGTTAAGAAAATCCAGCAGATTAATGATATATTGTCCATCTACCAGTTTTATCGTCTGTGAGAAACCTTTTTTAAACGTAATCAGCTCCAGCTTGCATTCTTAAAAACTCCTCACAAGCAATTTGACAGGAATTTTCTGGAATCAAAGCCCAGTATAAATGCAGCTTAAGGTAGTCTATCATTTCTCAAATATGTCCAATATTCCCAATCATTTTCAGGAGGAATGCAGCCATATTCCATAGGAATTGCACTCTGGGAGAAAACATCTGGAGCTTCAACAGATTATTTGCCTTCTAAACCACATATCTCCAAACCAGACACGACAGAGGTCTTGACAGCTTTTGACTTATTCATGGTACATACCCATATGTCACTTTTCCTACCAGTCACACTGAGCTACTTAAGTAGTGCAAAGGGTAGAAAAACTTCCCAGATCATGAAAGGTATACAATTCACTCTTTTTCATCTATATCTACCAACGCACTTGCAATAGCATTCTCTCTGTGTTCCTTTTTGCTTTCATCACTTTACATGTGCCTTGACTCCTATTGGCATTGTGCAACAAAGTGGGAGGCTGGACTGAGCCTCCCACTTCTGACAGGAAAGTCTCCGAGCACAACCTTTGCTCATCTGTCCTGTTTCCAGGGACCCAAAGCACACTCCAATCCTTGTTTCTTTTCGTTGTCCATTTTCTTGTTCAGACTGTGTTTTTCTAAAATATGTACAACGTCTATGAACAAAACAAAACTATGTTCCCTGCTGGGGACAAAATAGTGACAAAGCCGCTTTTACTTCTCCTCGCCTTAGGCACTGGCAACAACTAAGTACTGCTAATGCACTGCTAAAGTAATGTCTCTAAAATTTTCAAACACGGGATGTGACACATTTCTTGCCTTACTGTTCACAAATTTCACCAAATTTTCAGTTGTGGCTCTTTTGCTCCCTTTATCTTATTGTTGTCATGTTTCCAGCTACAGTTCATAGGGTAATTTAGAAAGAACTCAGGGTTAGAAGGATGATTTATTTCTTCCAAATAACACTCTGTTTTCAATATATTGAAACATCCACTGAAAGCCAGCTAAGTATCTTATCAATGTAACAATTCTATAACAATTCTATATTGTCAGATATAATGGCATCTGCACACCAGTTGTCTGGATTGAATTGATCGTGGTCTGTCTGATATCTAACATAAATTCAGTGTTCCATAACTGTAAAATATTTCTTTAAGTTGTACCTGAATTCCATTCAGTGGTTGATGGAGGACAGCTTATGAGGATTTGTATTCATGGTTCAAGTTGTATTTCTTCCTTTTTCCCCCCCTTTTTTTTAAAGCCTGCCTCTTTTTTTCTAGTTCTGGTTTTCGCTTTAGAGTCATATCTGTTTTTTTGTTTTCCACATTAAAACGATGAAATGGATGATAATTTAGCTGAATATTTTTTTTTGATTGCTTTGTAATGTTGTGTTGGAAAATCATCAAGATAATTTTCATCCACAACATTCTTTTACATTTTACTGCAAGCTGCATTCTGGATATAACTGTGTATGTGATACATAAATATTAAATCTTGTCCGTGTTTGTGGTAACATTCATTTCACCAAATAATTTGGTTACCAAATCAGTACAGAATGGTTGCTCCTGGCGTTCATTAATTTGGTACCCTTTTCATCATTTTAGAAGGCAGCAAAGAGATTTATTAAAAAAAGTATTTCTTTGAAATCTGTGAATGCTGTAAATTATAATTTTTGTTTCTAATTTGTACTGAATTCATCTGTCTTTCTCAAGATTTACCATACTTTTAAAGCTGTATTTCTTGTTAAAACTCAATTTCTTGCTAATTTTAGCTGCAACATTATCCATCTATCATTCATCAATTATGTTTTACCAAGTAAACTCCAAACAAAGAAAGCAACTGTTTTCTCAATATTTACTGTTATTTTTCATCAGAATTAAAGTTTATTAAGCAAAAGTTGTAAAAGGCAACAAAAGGTTTTGAAGTGTACCCCTGTGGTTCACTAATTTAAATTTTAAAGTTACATTTTTAATTTAAAGCTGTGATTAACCAGATAAATAATACTTTTTTTATTTAAATATCACATAACATAAATTCACACAATTGCAACTTAAAAAGGTGTATCTTGTACATGATCAAAACAAAACAAAACAAAAAATGTTTTTACTTCTGGAAATTGAATGAGGGATCTAATCGAATCGACAATAACTATAAATTGAATGTTTCAGACAATACTGTGTTTGCTTTGTATTTTTCGTTTTATTAGAGTATCGCACTATTAGCATAACAATGTCCTAACTGTCCTAACAGTAATGAGTTATGTCTATTCTTTAGTTGCTGCCTAAGTAAATCTTTCCAAATAAGTCACCGAGTAAGTTTCATTTCCGTTAGTGTGCTGCCTCAGATGTAGGCAGTAGACAGCATTGCAGCTTGTAAGGTTTTGAAACAGAGCTAATGTATTTAACTCGGGGCATAACAAAAGTGTACAAATACAGTATGTTTTTCCACATTTCCTATAAGTCACCACTGTCAATTGAAAGGCACATAAAGTTTCTATACACTCTTTTACAGAGGATAAATCTTGGGGGAGTCATTTATAGAAGGGTCCATCGATCAAGACCCAAAAGAGAAACAGATATGGACTGGGTCATTCCTCTCCCTGTCACACCATAAGAGAAGGAAAGCTTGAGCATAAATCTTCAGCTTGTTTCCGAGAGGGGCCATAACCTATAGCCCAGTAATTCGGAGATGAAAGCCATGTCTCAGTTTTGCAGTCTAAATCAATGCAATGCTTTCTATCTATCTATCTATCTATCTATCTATCTATCTATCTATCTATCTATCTATCTATCTATCTATCTATCTATCTATCTATCTATCTATCTATCTATTGTTTAAGATCAATTTTTTAAACCTCAAAAAGCATGATTTCTCCCAGGCCTGGAAACATTCAAGCAACTTTAAACCATTGGATTTGGTATACTCTAAAATATGCTGGGTTAAATACAACCCAGTGGTTGGGTTACTTACCCAGAAGGCTGGGTTAAACATTTCACCCAACCGCTAGGTCAAAACAACCCAGTTGCTGGGTTTGTCCATATTTCACCCAGCGCTGGGTTAGATTTAACCCAGCACTGTCTGAGACCGTTTCTGTGTGCATACACCCAAAGTGTGCGAGCAGAAAGATACTTCTCAGATTGCATGACCAACAAATTGACTTCCCTTTCATGTATTTTTGCACTTTTTATCATCTTGTCTTACATGAACATAAAGAGTTGAGAAAGAAAATGCAAAAAAGTGCATCAACATATTGCATGCACAAGGTCTTAAAGTGACAGCAGCCTAATATTCTGTCATTAATGTGAATCAAGCAACAAAAGACAAAGAGAAAATCACTCACTGCTCTTGACTGAATAAAGATTAACCTATATTAAATGTATACAGTGAAGACTATGCAATTCTGATTATTCTGTACCTGAATACTACTGTTAGACCTACCTGAAAAACTTAAAGCTTACATTTTTTCCTTATTTTATTACAAAGTATTTACTCTTTTCACTGTTATCCAAAATGTCGGTGTGATAAGTGAAATACTACAGAGCTACTTCATATATGTGGTAGAGCAGAACATCACATTTATGAATGTAGCATTTATGGATGTAAAGTGTGTGTGTGTGGGTAAGGAAATATTGTGGCAAAATTGTGACTAAAATCGACATTGCAGTATTGATACAAATCCCGATAGTATTTTTTGTCCATATCGCACAGTCTTAATGCATATCACTTCTATCTTTTGCTCCTTTTTTGCTTTTTCTCACACACACAGTTACACATACAGTACTTTCTCTTGTTGCCATTTTAACATCTACGGGAAATGCTCCACACACAGTCACATCTCTCTCTCCATCTCTCTCTCTCTCTCTCTCTCTCTCTCTCTAATGCATGTGATTGATGAATGCATCATTTGACACATATTTTCCAGGGAGGATCTTGGTCCATTTCTCTAGCATGGCACAACCTCCATCATTACTCTCATGATAGTTCTGGGCCCCAGCATGTCACCAGCTCATCCTCCTGCCTCCGTTCTGCCCTTCTTTCTTTTAACCTTTACATCCACTAAGCAGTCAGAGGTAAAGTATGGATCCGGCCGTAATATGAAGGCCTCCATAAACACAGACAAGGTTATGTCTCCTCACCAAAGAAGGTCACCGTCCTCAATTTGCAAATATAATCGTTCTTTCCAACACTGTTGTTCTCATCAACAGGCAGGGAATGAGGAGGGGGCCAAGGGGAGGCTGAGATGGCACTGTTGCTGGGTAAGTGATAATAACCTCTTTTGAGTGGATGCTGGCCTCATATTTTCTGGTAATTTAGACTCATTTAAACCGCAATAATGTCATAGACAAGGACATATAGGGCCAGTTTCAATGATGGTCCATTCTATTCTTATGGAAGACCATTTATACTTTTCAGCTCAGGCTGCTTTATTCAACCACTGTTGAAGACCTTATTGATAAGCATTCAGTGTCAGTTATAAAGATAGTCATTCTAAAATACTGTAAAATAGATTGACCCTACTGTATGTGATGTGGCAATGATTTTGTAGCTCACCAAGTACATATCAAAGAAATATGATCTAGTAAAAGTGTATAAATTACATACTTTATCAACTTTCAATATTTGATCTATAATACAGTATTGCCTATATTGCTATCAATTAATTTAAAACTTAAATAAATAAATAAGCATAATCACAGTACTATTGTCAGCTGACCTGTGAGTACATTTCCTAATAAGGAATTTTCCAAACAGTTCAAGCCAGAAGTAGCACCTTCATGTTTTGCAAGCCCCAGCTGCTATACAGGCGGTGTTTCTTGCCAAACCACATTTACTGAGATCAGACAGCTGTTCACACAGAATGTGTTCTTGCTTCCGAAGACAACTACACAGTGCACAACAGAATTAAACAGAGCACAGGGGTCTCATTATGTGTTATAGTTAAGTTGGTAAATGTTTTGACTTGACATACCTTAAAAAATGGTCAATCTTGGTTGGTCTTGCTGGGAACCAGTAAGATGAGACACAGTGGCTGAAGATGTCAGACTGCATAAGTGCATAGACACAACCTTTGCAATAGAAACACAGAGTTTTGATTATTACCACACCCCACAGTGAAAGGAACCACAAACAAGATACTTTCAAAATAAAAGTCATGAAATGGACCTCATATAATAGCCAGACATAAGGACAAGGACATAGAGTCCTCTGCACAATGTGACTTTGCTGCAGCCTGGAATTGAACTGGTTTCGTCTGGTCAGAGGAGAACTGGCCCCCCGACTGAGCCTGGTTTCTCCCAAGGTTTTTTCTCCATTCTGTCACCGATGGAGTTTTGGTTCCTTGCCGCTGTCGCCTCTGGCTTGCTTAGTTGGGGACACTTCATTTCCAGCGTTATCGTTGACATAATTGCAAAGATATTATTTAAACTGAGCTGGATGTTGACATCACTGAATTCAATGATGAACTGTCTTTAACTGAAAAATGAGTGTTTACTATTGTAATTTTGCATTATTGACACTATTTTCCTAATTAATGCTGTGCAGTTGCTTTGTCACAATCTGTATTGTTAAAAGCGCTATATAAATAAAGGTGACTTGACTTGACTTGACATAGAACACAGAGCCAAACCAGATGCCTATATGTTTGATTTTTTATATATTTTTTTATTTTAAAGTGAATACTGAATCATTTTTTAACCCATGTGCCCTCTGCTTCCCCTTGCAACAACATCTCTTCTCTAATGACGTTTACACGGGCGCGAGGACTTGCCAATAATCTATCCTCTCCAGGAAAATGTCCCTTACATGAGATTGCAGCAATTAGCAAACGATCCAATCAATTGCCCATGGACAAAATCAAGATTTGCCCTACATTTTTTCTCATTCGAGAATCTATTTCACTTGCATATGTGTCACAATAGGGAAAAAAGAAGAAGAGAAGATTTCAGTTTACACTTCATGCCAACTTTATTTATTTATTTCATTTTATTTTCCAATTTAAATAATTTATTTATCATTATAAATGATAAATTCATCAGTTGCATTTACACATCATCCATTAATAACACCACCAGTACATCCCACTGTAACGTTTATTATTATTTATTAGCTCTAAAAAGGGGAATATTTATGATGAATTATAACTGGTTATGATTCATAATAAATATTTAGATTATATCTTCGAATTAACTGTAGCAGAATCAATATTACAATTATTTGATCTGTCCGTCCACCGAGCAGACAATATAATAATTTATCAATTCAAGGAATATTTATTTTCTGGCCACGGAACAATAAACTGTCCTTCTTTGTACAGTGCTAGCAGTAATTCTTAGCAAAATGTAGCAATCAGATTGGGGGATGCTCGTGGGGGCTGGTTCTAATCTTCTTGACGGCGAAGAACCATCTGGCAATTTAAACCCCTATACGAACGTAAAGTTTCTGACCAGAACTGTAATTTGTATGCAAATGTCAAAAGGCTAAAAGGGGTCTTTTAAACCATAAACAGTCTAACGCTTCATGCATGATCCTACGCAGACGCTACACCACTGTGCTTCACTCTGGAGCTGCAGTATCACAGATGGATTTGATTGATTAAAGTGTGTGGTGGTGCTTAATACTACAACTGACCTTGTTTATTGAAGCTCTCCCCTGTGCAGTCATTCGAGAGTAAATGCCGGCACCGGTCAGCACTTCCAGTCCTGCTAATCCATCCATATCTCCCTAAAGAGCCTGAAATTCGCAGCCAGAACCATGCCGAGAAATGAATGTCTGTTGTCAGCTGGGTATTTATTTACTTTTTTTTTAACTTTTTAATTCTCATTCTCTTTCTCTCTCTCTCTGCCTCTCTCTGCTTTGCTTAACTTTGAAGTCTCATTATGTTTGCTGAGCTTTGAAACACAGCTTCAGGACTAAGTGGGGGGAAAAGGAAGAACTGAGTGTAGAAATGAATAAGATGACTCACAATCTTCACAAGGAGAAATTCATTACAAAGCCTGGAGTATAACTTTGCTCATTTTAGCCAATTAAATGCACATCTTTAAAATATGGAAAGGCTCTTTATGGATATTCATTCTTGAAGGGAAGATTAATTCTTTATAGTGGCCCATGGAGATTTTTTTTAACCACAGATGCACTCTGCACTGCACAATTGTAGGTGATTCTACTGAAAATCCTTTTTAAACTACGGATAGCCTTCATCTGTCTTAAGAAAGCATGTCACATGAGATTGAAGTTCACTTGGCTTGACCTAGGAAAAGCAATGGAGTTGAAAGTGGATAAACTGTAGGCCATACTAGAATATTTAATTTTAAACTTTGCTCATACACCTTGTAAAATGTATAATGCAATTAAAAAAAAAACACCAGCGTGAGATGCAGAGGCAAGCAAACATGACTGGAATACATAATTATTCATGACTGAATTTAATTTTAAAGCAAGGAAAGGTCTTTCCATACTCGAAGTGGGTCATGCTTTATCTGAATGAATCACTGTCTTAAAAGGCATCTGGTAATCAAAGCTGAGAAGGGCAGAATCTTCTTTTGCACTGTAGTTCTGCAGGATCTTTCTCCATTTTTTAATAACATGATCAGAGAGGGCAGACTGTCTTTCTTTCATTGTTGTCTTTTCTCATACAGTTGAAAATGAGCATGCTGTGAAACCTGCTATTGGACGCTTAATGAAAACTTTAGAATAATTTGGTGATTCATGCATATTTCCATGTTTTCAGTGGGTTTTGAACAGAGCTGAGGTGACTCAAGGTCACTAGAGGCTATTAAGCAAATCGTCGGATTTAAATTAAGTAGAGAAAAAAAACAATTCTGAAGAGGACAAATCCTCTTTGTAAAATCTATGATTTATATATATATATATAGGATAAGTACTATACATTTGTGAGTTTTATTTACTCAGTTAATTTAATAAATGTTTAACTCTAAAATATATAAAAAGTTCAAAAGTCTGAGATTTTAAGATGCAGCTACTATAATTTAAACCATAGAATAAGCTGAAAAGAAATCTAACAATGTACAAAAAAGAAACCCTATGACGTAACAATTAATAAGACATATTAAAGATCCTGCACTATTTCAAGGTTAATAATGGAAAATTGCATGGCATTGAGCATGTGAACTCTTTTGTACAAAAGCTCAGATTTCTTCGCTTCTATTAAAGCACACATTCTCTTTAAAATATTCTCAAATCATGCTGGATAACATGACGCTTTGTGCAAACTTGTAGAGTCCATGTCATCTGGAGTGCTGCTGTCATTAAAGCAAAAGGAGAAGATACTAATAATACTAAACAAGTGTTTTCTTGCATGCATGGTGTGATGAAATAATGATCAATATGGCACCTTACTAAGATGAATACACTAACAAAACCTCTACAAGACCATAACCATCCAATTCTGCTGTCTCACATAGGGATAAAAAAGCTTTAAAAAGTGTCTCTGCAAAACCTTTTAAAATGTGATGAAATGTGATGAGCACACTGAAATGTATGAGTATTTGATGCATTGCATTAAGCATCTCACTGAGCTCCTTGGGTAGATTAATGTCTGTGCTGCATATGAGAGGAAGCATTAAACGGGTTTAACATATTCAGAATCCTGAAACAATAAGACTGTTTGGAACTGGAAGCTTTCATATGTATGTTATTCACTCATATGTACAGCCTAGTATATTTAAACTTTTTGACCATTTGTGTTTTATTAATGCTGAGCACTATACGTTTAAATCTGGCCATCTACAATAATTTGTTTATAGGCTCTGATCAGTACTGCGGCATATGCCCCCCATAAAAAAGTGCCCATATTTTTACACTCTTTTTTTATACTGTTTTGGGTATAGATAGATATTAATCATCTTTACCTGCAGTACAGAGTTATTCACAAGCTACACATGCAATATAGATACACTTCATTGACAAATGATAGAAGACAATAAGTACATATCCACCTCATCCAGTGCTATTTTTGTTTTCTACTTTATAAAATATTCCGTTACTGAGAAACCGCTGCAAACGATTCAGTGCTTGAGTGAACTGTCAGAATGAATCAAAATGTATCTCGCAAACATTTCAGACCTTTTCTCAAAACCAATTAGATCAAAAGAGTAATTAATTTGCAAATCTGGCATCCCTAGATCTGATTCTAAACAGCTGATAGAAAACACACATGACTTGATTGCTGAAACCAGAGACTTATGGATTTATCAGTAATATTTTACTGGAGCACAGCAGTATTTCATTGGGAATTGCACTTCAGTAAAAAGGGTCTAGCGACACCACTGCCCATTTAGCACATTTACAGCAACTCCTTCTCTGTGAACTGTTCGCTGTCACTGTAAAGTGAAAGTCAGCATATAAAAGTCAACCTGGCTTACTTGTGACTTAGCAAAATCAATGCCTCTGTTTAAAAAAAAAAAAGAGTCATTCCTTAATGAAGTATTTTAAGATCAGCCGAGGCCATTGATTTTCTAACAGCTTCCGTTCGTATTATTAATTAAAATGTTTCACATACAGCAGGAGTTTTGAAGGATATACACGCTTTCTTTTAATTTGAGTTATTTTCTACACTTTAAGTCCTTCCATTCTGGTGATTCAGAAGGGAACAAAAGGTTTCCAGCTGAGACATTTCCTGCCTAATCTTTGCCTTAAAATCGTGTCAGGATTAAAATTCTGTTGTGACAGTGAATACAATGGTAAAGTATAAACCTATCTTCTCACAATATAGGAAGCTTTTGGTACACTAGGCAAGCAGTTTAACCATTCGTTCTGTGTAATCCTCTAATGTAGCACATGACACATGAGTGCATAGGGCAGTCATTAAACTACAGGTTACCTACCCCTCATGAAAAGCTGTTATTCACTTTAAATTTACGTTTACAAGCACACACATTTGTACTCTGATTTTACACGGTGAGCTTACATTTTGTATGAGAAGCAGATTACATGAAGATTTAAAAAAAAACCTACCCACTGTGCTCCATTAAACAAAAAATCCATCTTTTTGGTCTCTCTCTCTCTCTCTTTCTTTTTTTTTTCTTTCTTGAGGCACAAGGGCCATTGCCTGGAATTACTGGGCCTGGTCAAAAACTTTATGAATGGGCCTTCCCTTCACTTACCTTTAGGCTAATTTTGAGTAAGTATATTGAGAATTACTTTGCAATTATCAATAGTTTTCTCTGAAGTGGCACAAAGGGTTAGAAAAGGTGAGTACTGTAGTTACTGAATTTGTACAACCCTGAAAGTGGCATGGTCTGTGCTTCGGTTGTTTTCTTTTTCTGATTTTGTTTCCTGGAATAATTACACTCAAGTAAATCATCATAAATTAGACTACAATCTGTAACTATGTGCACTTTAGGGGGGGGAAAACTAAACAAAAAAACACTGGAAACCTTGAAAAACTAAGAAAATAAATTGAATATATTTATATAATTCATATAGTGTCCTTCTATGCAACTTAAAAAAATAGCCATTAACTTACAAAGTCCCTACATACAGTACATTTTTTATTAAAACACTCTCACAAATTGCATTACTTCCTGATGAATTAAATCCAAATGGAATGGCTAAAACAATAGTCTTTTGGAATAAAATAGTTAAAAATAGCCAACTTGGAATTGGAACATTGTCATACTATAGCAGAGCATACTATTTTCCACAGTTCTTTCAACCTTTACCTGAGGACTATTTCTTCTTCCTTCAAATTTCCCCCATTGCATTTGTTCAACAATTTACAATTAATACACAGAAAAAAACATACAAGTACACTTTTTTTCCTACTACTAGGGAAGCTCAAAAAAAAATAAACTAATGGAAAAGTTCCAGGAACAAATATGGACTCTTAATTGTAAATACGTATATGTTATACTTTTTTTTTTCTTCCTGGGAATCCCATTAAGAGAGACAATTTAGAACACACATTATTGCCCTGTACAAAAATACTGCAAGCACGTACATTATGCATTAAAGCACCAACACTAGACACTCGCTAATGTGACTTTATCACACAGCAACGGAATGCCGAGCATGTCCAGCCACTTTATGTTATCTGGGGTCCTTGTTTTGTTCTACAGAGTATGATCAATTACCACACTACACAGAAGGAGATAAGGTCAAACTGAGATATAAAGATGTATTTGCAGACGGTGTTGGGGAGTAACTAGTTACATGTAACGGCGTTACGTTATGTAACTGTAATCAGTTACAGTTACTAAGAAAAAATATGTAATTAAATTACAGTTACTTATGAAAATGTTAACGATTACAAAGGGGATTACATTTGAATATTTACACACATCCACATACAGATTTAATTGATTTATTTCCCAAATTGCACTGACTACTCTGAGACATAGGCTACTATAATTTCAGCGATGCGGAAAACACAGACTGGTTCGTAGAATACAGTCATAAAAACGGAATTCCTATAGCCTAATGCGGACGGAATATGCCACAGTTTTGGACGAATAAATCAAAAGTAGGTCAGTACACTTTAATCAAAACGCGATATGGACTAGTGTCTGTGAATATTAAGCCGCAAAAAGACAATATATGAATCGGGAGACCCGCCGGGACAATTCCCTGTGGCCTGGCAGCCGATTTGGCCCGCTATTTTAATATTATTATTGTATAATTGCCTGTCGAATGTACTAAAGCGATTATTTCCGAATTCTCCATTCGATAATTAAATCTCTAATAAATCATGAATCGGTTAGTCGTGACTGGCAATGCTACGCGCACCAAACGGTTTGGATCAGAGTAATCAATGCTAGAGAGAGAATGGAGTGGACTGTGGAAGCGCACAGGTGGAGCAGAGAAGCAAAACTACTGTTCAGGGTTTCAAGTGCAGGCCAGTTTCATCTGTAAATATGCTATTGTAGTTTTGTCTTTGTTTACTTCGTCAAGCAGCAGCAGTCCATTGCTCATCAGTCATCACTCAAAATACTGTATAAAGGACATCATTATTATCTATTGTAATGTTAGAGTAGTAATTTAGCAGACAAATAATCATATTTTATAATAGGTTTAGGAGGAGCTAGGGCAGACAACAACACAACTTATGAAAATTAACGATGATTTTACTATAAATCCAAAGATAATGGTTAATATTGTTAAACCAGGGTAACCACAAATCAACCATGGTTTTTGCTACACTAACCATAGTTTAACCATGGAATTTGTAGTAAAAATAAATACAAATGGTAATCCATTTGCAAAAAAAAACAAAAAAAAAACATGGTTATTGTACTTTTACTATAATAAAAACATGGTTAATTTTTGTAAGGGAAAAACATGACTCGTGTTCAGTATTAGGATTTTTCTATAAAGATATTGTAGTGATGCACTAATTTTGACATGTAGGCAATTTAGAAAGTATAGTTTTGCTAAATCTTGAGTATTGAAGTCATGAGAGAGATAGATATCAGGGCAAAATAAAGAGACTGAAAAGAAAAATGGAAGTGAAGGTGCAGTTCAGGAGAGAACATTGAATTATTTTATATGTCCCCAACCTAAGGATTTAATCCTTTTTTATGTGAGGTCCATACATAAAAATAGGGTTGTCTATGTTTCAGAATTTGTTGTTGGTGTATGAGTGTGATATTTCCCGGCCTGACTATTTTTTCCCAATCCGCCCCTCGTGGAAATTAATGGCGCAGACATGCGGTTTCATTTACAACACAAAGGCCTACTGAAGCTTGCTGTGTTTTCAGCCTCTGCTGCCTCAATATATGAGTACATGAACACATAAATATAATCTCTAGAACTGCTCTTAGTCACTTCATGAGCATTTTACTAATTTTGAGAAAACTATCGTCATATCATATACAAAGAGACACCAATGTTTCAGGAGTTTAGTACACAGAATAGGACACATGCTTAAAGAGACTGAAAAGAAAAATGGAAGTGAAGGTGCAGTTCAGGAGAGAACATTGAATTATTTTATATGTCCCCAACCTAAGGATTTAATCCTTTTTTATGTGAGGTCCATACATAAAAATAGGGTTGTCTATGTTTCAGAATTTGTTGTTGGTGTATGAGTGTGATATTTCCCGGCCTGACTATTTTTTCCCAATCCGCCCCTCGTGGAAATTAATGGCGCAGACATGCGGTTTCATTTACAACACAAAGGCCTACTGAAGCTTGCTGTGTTTTCAGCCTCTGCTGCCTCAATATATGAGTACATGAACACATAAATATAATCTCTAGAACTGCTCTTAGTCACTTCATGAGCATTTTACAAATTTTGAGAAAACTATCGTCATATCATATACAAAGAGACACCAATGTTTCAGGAGTTTAGTACACAGAATAGGACACATGCTTATTAGATAACGTCTCTAGGTTACGTATGTAACCATGGTTCCCCGAGGGAACGAGACGCTGCGTCGAGTCGCCCCCTTTAGTGGGTTTTCCTTTCTGTGTGGGTGGATGGAGCTGGGCGGAAGTCAAGTTCACGGCCCCTTTAAAAAGCGCAGAAATTTCTCTTTACTTCCGTTTTCCTCCGGCATGGTATACAGGCTGCGTGTTGATCGTGTCACAAGAAATATTTGATGTGTGTCAAGCATTGAACTTGTAGTCAACGTAACAACCGGTATAAGGTTGGAATTCTTCTCTAACTCTGGGCGTGGGCCTGAGGGTGTTCAACCGCTTCAACGCATTTCAGGCGTGATCCAGGCAGTATTGGTGGATTGTTCACCACTCTTATTGAGAGACAGTTAATTGTGCTGCAGGTTGGGCCTTATATGGTATTTTGTAAGTTGTTTGTTATTTAAAGATGTAATTTTAAAATGTTAGAGTATGTGTGGCTAATGACCAAATCGGGTAATTATTTTATAGAAATTCGTCCGTTGCTGTTTTGCTGCTGTGTGGCGGCTTGACCGTGGTGCTGTGCTGGGGAGAAGTTGTTCGCC